AATTACCCCCCCCCCCCCACACACACACACACACACATACTTCTGTATCCAGTCTCAGAAAGATTCAGCTACACTGAGGAGCAGTTAAGTGTCGGTGCAGATGAAGCATAAATGTGATTTTTCTACTGTGATTTTCATTAAAGTCAGCAGTTGACAAGCATATGTCTTATTGTGCAGCTGGCGCTCATATAATTTGGCCTGGAAGATAAATGCAGCTATACCAACAGTTGTGTTGCCTGTTTTATGGTGTAAAAAGTGTTAAGTCCCTCACTGGATGTAAGGGCTGTATGATACTCTAACAATGTTTCATTGTTATTCTCTTTAAGAATATTCTTCTTTGCTGGCTGCCCTAAAGTTCTTATTTAAATAAAGAGAAACAGCAGTCTGGCAAAAGCAGAGGTAAAATTGCACAGCTTTCCTCATTCTTTGTTTAATTCTACAAAAAGAAGCTTTGAAATTGGGTGGCTACACAGATGTATTTATTTTTTTGCCGTCAAGTCCGTCCTCATAAGAAAGTACTTGCTAGTATGTGTAACTGAGTTCTCGGAGCACCTCAGAGGTAGCTATTCATGGTGTCAGTCCACAGGATGTGTCAAGAGTTGTTTGAGTAATAGTGCGTGTTTATTTTGTATATGTTTTTCTACCTATCTATATGTTAGCAACACAGCTGCATATGGGAAAGGTGCAACACTGATTAGTCTTCCTATGCCTCATCAGAGCGAGTAGTTCCACCCTGGGAACTGTTCATTCCAGCTCACAGTGATGATACACTGTCTCTGTGTGATGAGCCCCTCTTGGTCAAGTAAAGTCTGGTGCTTTTTTTTTTGCACAAGCAATTATTCTGGTTTGTGATTTGATAGTGACTGGGTTGATATCAAATTCTATCGCTAATTAAAGACTTTGGTTCAAAATGGGCATATTTCAAATGAAAAGAATAAAAAAAAAAAGACAACCAGAACACAAGATGTGGTATGTACAGGTTTTCAGTCAGTACAGTGGGTTCAGTTCGTTGGTAGCAATCTCACAAAGCCCTAAAGATCATGGAGCAGGGTGTTTAGTCTTATTATGTGCTGGCCCGTCACTGTCATACCCTTAATCAGAGTAAATAATGTTCTCTTGGGCTTTACTGTATTGCCCATATTTCTGCCAGTTATTCTCTGCCTGGATGCAACTCAGCCAACATTTAGTCACAGCAAGCAAAGGAAGAAAGACTTGGAAAAAGTGCAGATAGCTTGTTCGTTGAAGATGTTGAATTTAGAACAGGGTTTACACACATCCAGAGTCTCTTCAGAGAGTCCTGAATTCCCCTAGCTGGGGACCGTTGTCTGCTTTCCGAGAGTCGAGTAGAGTAAGAGAAATCCCAGCAGCGCTCTCAGCTTTTCCTCTCCGCATAGAGTACTGTAATTAGATTTCTTCCACCCTCCTCCTTGTCCAAGGTTTATATACTACATTGAGAATACCTTCAGTACACATGCAAACAAGAATGAATGAACAGGTGCACCTGCTGCCTTTGTTCTCCTCCAAACCCTGTTTATGTATAGAAAAAAGACAAAACAAGAATGCGACTAAGAGGTTTATTGGAATTCCCAACACTTCTAGCAGCTGTAGAGTTCCTCTCTCCCGTAGTGTGTCCTCTCTCCCTGTACCTTCCTGCAGGTTGCCCTGGCCCTGGAGCTCTATGTTTCTGATGAGCAGTCACCAGCCACATCAACCTGATCAGTGTTTGATTGTTGTGTCTTGTTGCTTTTCTTCTTTTGTCTCTCCTCTATCCACTCACCCCAACTGGTTGAGGCAGAAGGCCGCCCACCAAGAGCCGGGGTCTGTCGGAGGTTTCTTCTGTTAAAGGGAGTTTTTCCTCCCCACTGTCACCAAGTGCTGTTCAAAGGGGATTTGTTGGGTTTTCCTTTGTAATAATATTGATAACAGTAAGGTCTAGACCTTACTTTGTAAAGTGTCCTGAGATGACTTTTGTTGTGATCTGGTGCTATACAAATAGAATTTGATTTGATTTGATTTAGAGTTGTATATACAGTAACTAATTAGAGGCAGAGATAAGACATGTGGAGCTCTGCATATTATTTCCATCTTTCACATTTTGTCTCTCACTTTCTCTTTCTTGCCACTGGTTGTCTTTATCAGCAAGGGTCCTACTCTGTTCAAAAGCGAAGACGCATTTATCACCCATTGGGGATTTGATAAGAGGCCACAGTTAAGCCTTTAACTCCGTTGTTTTAATTATGAGGCAGAATAATGCTTTCGCTTTTTATGTCTCGCTCCCTTATTCTGTCTTTGTCTCCCTCTCTCCTTGTACCACAACAAGAGGGCGGGGTTGTGACCTACCAGGCATTCAGACTGAAAGCAGGGGCTGCATTGTTTGTTTCAGGTACCAAGAAGAAGGCCATGTAAACAAGTAATGTAGAATGTTGTGAAGTTTTCTGCCACTGAAGTGCTCTGGCATGCTCAAAAGTAGAACCTCTGGCCTTTTTATTTCCCAGTCCCAGTGTTGACATCCCAGCTGTGTGAAAGCACTGAATGAATGACCACGGGCCTTCACGTCCTGGCCCATCATATCCTACTTGATTCAGAGCTATTTAAGTGGTCAGTTTCCCCCTATCCACTTCCTCATCATTTACCAGTTTATTGATTTGCCCTGTTTCAGCTTGATTCCAAGGCTTGTCTCTGTTTCTTTTTTTGTATAATCAGCGCCTCAGTACGTGGGGG